GAAGTAATTAGGTTAAATTCATAAACAGTTTTTTCTTCACACCTACCTTGTGCACTCATACGCAATTCATCGTAAATTTTGCATAAAGGGAAGTAAAAAAATTCTGTTTAGCGGCAGTTTTTATGCGTTTTTTGCAGCTGCAGATGCAGTGCAGAAGACACATGTTGACGAGAGGCTGTTCGTTTGTGTGTCTGTGTGTCCGTGTGTGCGTCTGTCACGGTTTTTCATCTCAAAACCTACAAAAGCTACAGAGCTGAAACTTTGGGAATTTAATCTACATGGACGTGCGGGCCCCAATCCCCAAAATGGGCGCTCGTACACGCATGGTACCCATATACGAGCCCTTGAAAGTTTTTTACGGGTAAGCCGCTAACTCGAGAACCAGAAAAGCTAAAAAGCTGAAATTCTAAGGAGATATTCCCCATTCACGTAAGTCTCATTGAGCTCAAACCCAGCCCTCGAGTATGCGCGGCACTCATGCACGGGGCGCCGAAATTTTTTTCGGGTAAGTCGCTAACTCGAGAATTTGAAAAGCTAGAAAACAGTAGTTTTAAAAAGATATTTCCCGTTCACCTAAGTCTCATTGAGTTCAAAGCCAAGCTTCGGGTATGCGTGATACCCGCGTACGGATCCGCCAAAATTTTTTTCGGGTAAGTTTCTAACTCGGGAAACTGAAAGGTTAGAAGGCTACAATTTTAAGGGGATGTTTCCTCTCTACATAAGTCTCAGTGAGCTCAGATCCCGATACCGGGTATGCGCGGTACTCATGTACGCGCTCGCCAAAATTTCCTCGGTTAAGTTGCTAACTCGGGAACCTGAGAAGCTAGAGGATTGGAATTTTATGGGGATAATCCCCATTCACGTAGGTATCAGTGAGCTCAAATCTAGCTCCCGGATATGACTCGGTCGCACTTATGGGCTCGTGAAAGATTTTTTCGTGTAAGCTGCTAACTCGGGAACCTGAGAAGCTAGAAGACTGGGATTTTGAAAAGACGTTTTCTGACAGACCTTGCGGCCAGTCTGAAATTCTTTTAGCTAGAAGCACCTGCCGGAAAAATCAGTGCCTTTAACAACAAAAATCTGCAGGGAACTATGCAAAAAATGCATCTCACGGGCAGCCCATGCGTTGACCCAGCTGGTCAGTAAGTAATTTTTCCGCTAGAAATTTAATTGCCCGTACACGAGAAATACGCGTACCCTGGAGGCTAAATTTGAGAACTTTAAGTTGTATTTGAATAGTGAATATTCTCCTAAAATCTCAGCTTTCCAGCTTTTCTGGTTCCAGAGTTAGCCGTTTTAGCACCAATAAGTATCATGGGTCCGTATTTGAGAACCACGCATGCCTGGGATGAATTTGATAACTTTAAGTCGTACACACGCAGACAGGGTTGTTGCAATACGCGTTTTTGCAATTTGCATATAGGCAAAAAAGCATAATTAATAGCGCAGGACAAAGCAGTGCATGTTAGTTGAAGATATCGGGCTTTGTGGTTTGAGATGTGTTAACTACAGTGTGTCTTCCGCATGTCAGTATTTCTAAAATGTGAGCCTGGATTCGGATTCAACTACAGCTAGGCCTTAAAGTCCAGTAGGTTCTAATTTCTCAATGCATACTGCCGGAAAAGTCGTTTTAGCACTAATTGCTCATTTAGTGCACTTGTTATGGAATGTATGAGTACGCTATTCATCAAAAGCATGGGGCTTCCCAGTTAATTGATCCACTCTACTAATCACAAATAATGATCTGTGAAAAAAGCTATAAAAACAAATGAAAATTCAGGATTCGGTAAAAGATTTAGTCGTCTTTTTCGTGCGGTTGATGTCTGATCCGTCTTCTGAGTGTGCTAGCTTTATGTCTCATGTCCGTACAAATTCGGGACAGCTAATGCAAAACACAGCAACAAATAATTCCAGAAATGAGCAAAAATGGCGCTGATCTTGAATACACGGACTTTGCACTATCTCAGACAGTATTGCAGTTAAATGAGATAAATGCAAAGGAACGAGCACATTTTGAGAATCTCGTCGTACACGCGTCTTCGTGCACGTTTCGGCAGCCCTTGGATAACGAAATCTTTGTGCTCCCACTGCTCCTGCGCACTCAACGTGTAGTTGTTGGCTGCCTTTAGTATCTCACGTAGTGCCTCCTTCACGTCATCTCTTGCCTGCAGTGCGGATACCGACTCCAAAGCTTTCATGAGCGCCTCTTTGTGTTTGCGCAAGCGATTCTCTACCTGCACCTGCAACAGTATATCGGGAGTTTGAACTTGTTCCCGGATTCTGAAGTTTGCGGTAAATTTAGACAGCAAAATCAGCGAACTTTGCTGTGATGACGAAGCACTGTCACACAAGCAGCATCTCCTCAGCAAATGTTGCTTCATTCCAGTTCTTTGAGGCATGTGAAGTGAAGTGCGTGAACCAAGCAGACGCTGAGTGCGCGCAAATTTAAATTAATGTAAAGTGTGGTCCGCGTACAAAATTAAATCATTGGCGACGCGCACCAGGCGGGTCCGTGCGATGATGCGTTTTTGCAGCATTTCGTGCTGTAATGATAAAATTCATCCTTCATGCATGCCTGCAAGATGAATTTCATAAATTTAAGTCGCACTTTTGCTGGAAACATTCCCTGAAAATTTCAGCCCCCCAGCTTCCCTGGTTCCCGAGTTAGCAACTCTTTCCGCCGAAAATTTTCACAAGGCCGTACATGAGAACCACGCAAACCCTGGGGCTGAATTTACTAACTTTAAGTTGTACATGGACTGAGAACTTCCCCTTAAAATTTCAGACTCCCAGCTTCCCTGGCTTCTCAAATTAACGATTTTCGCCCCAGGAACTCTCACAAGGCAGTACGCGGGAATTACGCATACCTGGGAGTAGAATTTGAAATCTTTGAGTCCAGATGGACGAGAGACATAACTCCATAATTTCAGCTTTCCAG